AGCAGCAGGGTCTGAAAGCTGCCTGGCCGAGGCAGAGCACAGCCGTGGCTGGGACAAAACAAAACCAGCATTCACGGGCGGTCATTGAAATTCCCAGCAGCTGTTCCCTCCCGGCACACTCAGGTTTTCCCCTCCTTTGCTGTCCTCAGGCACTTCCAGGGACATTTTCCTGGGTGGCAAGGGAACAATTCACCCATGACCAGCATCCCTCCTCCTCCTGCTCCTGCCTGATGGAAACCAGCCCTGCTGGGGTGGCACTGCCTGGTTCAGAGCTCGTTCAGTGCCAGCTGGGTGCTCTCCTTGGCAGACACCCCCAGCCCTGCCCTGGTGTCCCACACTCCTGCCCGGCTCCAGCTCATCCCCATCTCCTCGTGGTGCTGCCTGAGCCCCCGAGGCCAAGCCTGGCTGTGGGGGTGGCTGCCCAGGCTGTCTCCATCCCCTCCCCACGGGGCTGCACCGGGAGAGCCCCCGGGACACCGGGAGAAGCCTCAGGGATGGGGCTGCGGGCCAGGCTCAGCACAGCAGCCCCAGCCGGAGCTGAGCACGGCTCACATGAGGAAAGGATTGCTCGGGCACATGTTTTGATCAGGTTGGGCTCAACCCCAGCCCTGGCTGGCCGTGGGGCAGGCAGGGGCACGCCGGGCACGGCAGCAGGAGCGAGCACACTGCGGGGCCCTGCTGGAGCCTGGCAGCTGCTCGCTGGCTCGGGGAGCCGGGGCTGAAACGCTGCCTGCAGCCCCAGCACGGCTGCCAGCACAAATGAGTTTAGTGGCCTCAATTTAATTCCCATTTGGACATGGTGGGAAAAAGATATAAGAGGAGGGAGAAGGAGAGCAGAATCCCGGATCGGCGCTGGGATGGGATGGTGAGCTGCAGACATGTGGGGGGCACGAGGTGCCAGGGATGAGCCCTGGGGGAAAGGGGGCTGTGCTGGCAGCAGGGGTGGGTGACACAGGGACAGCAGAGGGGCTGTCACTCCCACTGGACGTGCCCAGTTCCTGTAGCTGGAGCCACCAGAGCAAGGGTGCACCAAGCACGGAGCTCCCCCATCCCAGGACATCCATGGGCTGCCAGGAGAGTGCCCCTCTCCCCCTCCTGTCCTCACCCAGGCTGTCCCTGGGGCTGAGCACACCCAGCCAAGGGAAGACTGGCAGAGGGAAGGTGCCACTTCAAGCCCTCAGGAGCCAGGGCTCCGATTTCAAAAAATAAAGTGAGGTTTCCATCTGTATTTGCTTAGCGAGGTAATGACTTTATTTCTGATTTGATGCTCTTGTCCCTGACGACTCAGGCACGAAAAGGGAGAGCTGATAAGAGTGAAGAGGCCCGGCCAGAGGGATGCTGTGGCTGCTCTGTGCCTGGCATTCCCCACCTGGATTCCTTCCAGGGGATTCCAGAAATGCTGTCAGCTCTGGGAGCTGGACTGTGGGCATGGGGAGGGCAGCAGCTCGAGGAGGTGAAAGCCAGCCCTGATAAGAGCTGGGCTCTGCCCCGTTATGGCTGTGGGGAAGGCACCAAGAGGAGCACAAGGTATTCCATACTTGGTGTGACCTGCCTGGATCACGCTCTACCTCCAGCCTCATCCTCTTTGGGAGGAACAAATCTCTCTGGTTTGGAGATATCCCCCCTCCCTGACATCCCTCCGTGCCCACCCCATGCCCCTGGGTGACTGCTGAGGCCTGGCGGGCAGTGGGATTGCCTCTCCTTGGAGGATTTAATCACTCCCAGAGCAATCCAGCTCCATTTCTCCATCATAAGAAGCAAACTGATGTGTTTTGCCTGAGGTAACTGCTTTACAGTGGGAGGGCAATCCCAACCCCACTGCACCCAGTTCCCCCCAGTCTGAACAAGAAGCTGGGCAATGGCACATTTTCTTTGCTGAGGAGGAAGGAGGTTTCTCCTCTCTCCCATCACTTGTTCCAAGTTTGCCAGTCCCACAGAGACGTGAGCAGAGCTCTGTGCAGCTGGAGGGTTAACATCTCATCTCTTCCAAATAAATAGAAAATGACCCAGTTTCTTTATTTTCCTCTTTTCCCAAAGTCCAAACACCCAAAAAATGAGATGGTAAGTGGAAGCCACAAATAGATTCCATGTATCCTGGCAGAGCTGGGAGATGAAAGCAGGGAAATCAGCTCCTGCCTCAGACCTGGGAATGGTGCAGCACATCTTGCCATGGGTTCATTTCCCTGGATCAACCAAGCAGGAGAGGTTTTGGGCCTGATCCGAGCTCAAATCCTCATCCCTGGGGGACCAGGCTCTTCCCAAACTCTCCCCAGTGCTGCTCCCATCTGCCTTGTTCCAAGCATTAAGGTGAGTGGCAGAACGTGCCCAGCCTTCAACTATTCCTATCACGTCCCATCTGGAGACAGAAATCTGCCTGCTGGCTTCACAATTAAAATTGAAATGATTTGATTATGGGGCTTCATTAGTAAAAACAAACACCAGGCAGCCTCCCTCCCTCTCCCCGCACATCCCCGCCCAGCCGTTCCTCCCTGGGGCTGTTTTAGGTAAATCCCAGCCGGAACGCGCTCGGGCTCACAAAAGGCTTCGTGTCTGCAGCTTGTAGCTCCTGTCGGGAGCAGCCTGAAAGAGGCAGATTTTAGACCCACAAATCTCCTTTGGGGAGAGATGAGCAGCTCCGATGGCTCTGTGGGCTGCACGGAGTGCCCGACACAGCCGGCAGGGGAGCAGGATTCTTTCCAGCCCCTCTGGATCCTTTTCAACCCCTCTGGGTGCTTTCCAGCCCCTCTGGATGCTTTCAAGTCCCTCTGCATGATTTCCAGCCCCTCTGGGTTCTTTCCAGCCCTTCTGGATCCTTTCCAGCCCCTCTGGATGCTTTCCAGCCCCTCTGGGTACTTGTAGACCTTACCAAGGGGTTCCCAGAGCTCCTGGGGCTCCTGCCTGGACTCCATCCCCTTCCTTCCATGAGTCTCTGCAATTGGGGCATTTGCAGCTCCACACCAGCCTGGCCTTGTCCTTGCTCGCTCCCTTTTCCTTCCCTGCAGCTGCAGCATCCCAGGGGAAGGGCTGAGCAGGCTCAGAGTAGGCACGGAGCAGGCACGGAGCAGGCACGGAGTAAGCTCAGAGCAGGCTGCCCGTGGTGTGTGCAGATGCTCCAGTCCCTAAAGCATTGGCAGCTCTGGGGGAAGCAATTCAATGAACACTTGGGGCCTTGGGAACAGGCTGTGCAGGCTGGGAGAGGAGGAATGCCAGTGGAGGAGGGCTCGGGAATGCTGCTGGGTTAGGGAGCACTCCCAGGGACTGCTTTTCTCCAGCAGTGGAAGGACAAGGGGAACGGTTTCCAACTGACAGAGAGTAGGGTTGGGTCAGGTATTAGGAAAAAATTGAAGTGTCACCAAGCCGGTGGCACAAACAGCATTGCTGTCCTACCCTGGCTTGCCTTGTGGGCTAAATCTTTAACCAGATCAAGGGTTTAACTTTATCAGTAGCTGGAAAAAGGTGGCACCACTTCCCTGGGGCAAAGTATCTTGATCCCTGTAGAAATCCCTTTTCCTGGGCCTCACTCAGCAGCTCCTTTGGCATGGGGACCCGTGGGACCCTGTGGAGCAGGGGGCACACAGTGCCCCGTGCCACACCTGGGCTCCCAGCTGCTTTTTCCTCCAAAATCAGATTTTCACAGCCCCGAGGAGCTGGCACTTCCCCTGGCAGGGTGTGTACCTGGTCATGGATTGCCCTCCTGGTGGGCAGTGCAGGAGGGAAGCCACCCCCACAGCGGAGGCTTCTGTGTCCCCTCAGGGGAGCCCCCCAAAATCCCTCTGCCAGCTCCCCAGCCCTGGAAAACCTTGCACGTCCCCTGCCCAGAGCAGGATGATTGATTATTGTTATTAGAGGTGGAGAACAGTTTCTGTGCACAGCCAGGTGGCTCAGGAGCAATTCGTCACCCACCGGCGAGGGGGGCCGGGCTGTCCCTCTGTCCCTGCCGGGTGGGAGCTCTCTGCAGCCCCGGCAGCGTCCGAGGCGGCTCCGGGCACGGATGGAGCCCAATCTGATGAGCACGGGCAGGGCTTTGGCACAGCCGCAGGGCAGGGCTCCGACCCGAGCTGATCCCTGCACCCCGGGGCATCCCGCGGGATAAAGGGGCGGGACGGCAGGGATCCAGCTCCACGGCAGCCCCCAGCCCCACGGCAGGGATCCATCCCCAGGGCAGGGATCCAGCTCCACGGCAGGGATCCAGCCCCACGGCAGGGATCCAGCTCCACGGCAGCCCCCACCCCCACGGCAGGGATCAATCCCCATGGCAGGGATCCATCCCCAGGGCAGGGATCCAGCTCCACGGCAGGGATCCAGCCCCACGGCAGGGATCCAGCTCCACGGCAGCCCCCAACCCCACGGCAGGGATCAATCCCCATGGCAGGGATCCAGCCCCAGCCCCATGGCAGGGATCCAGCTCCACAGCAGCCCCCAACCCCACGGCAGGGATTCACCTCAGTGCCACGGCAGGGATCCAGCCCAGCCCCATGCCAGGGATCCATCCCCAGGGCAGGGATCCATCCCCAGCCCCAGGGCAGGGATCCAGCCCCACAGCAGGGATCCATCCCCATGCCAGGGATCCATCCCCAGGGCAGGGATCCATCCCCAGCCCCATGGCAGGGATCCAGCCCCACAGTAGGGATCCATCCCCAGGGCAGGGATCCATCCCCAGCCCCATGGCAGGGATCCATCCCCAGGGCAGGGATCCATCCCCAGCCCCACGGCAAGGATCCATCCCCATGCCAGGGATCCATCCCCAGCCCCATGCCAGGGGTGATCCCCATCCCGGTGCCCCCATCCCTGCCGCCATCCCGGTGATGCCCCCGCACAGCGGAGGGGCTGCGAGGTGAGGAGGGGTCCCTGGGAGCACCCGCAGCCCCCGGCACGGGGGTGCTGGGGGCAATGCCAGGCAGGGCAGTGCCAGCCCGGCCCGGGGCTCAGCTGGCAGGGACACGGCACAGCCGGTGCGGGCGGCGAGGGGGGGCTGTAATGACGGTCCAGCTCAGCAAAGGTAGCAGAGCATGAAAGCAATTTCACACTTTATTAGACAATTCAGGTGCCAGCTGCACCAGCCTGGAGCGAGCGCTGCTGTTCACGGCTCCTCTCCTGCTCCGCAGCCCCGGGCTCGCTCTCCGTGGGCTCAGCCCTTCCTCGGGCCACGCTGCTCCCGGTGGGCATGTGAGGGGCCAGCGAGGGTGGCCGGGGCTCGGGCTGCTCCTCGTGGGCCACCATGGGCAGGTGGCAGGGAACATTGCAGCGCAGGCTGCCTCTGCTGGGAGCCAGCTCAGCCTGGCAGCGTGGGCAACTCCGTGCCCTTCAGCCCAGGGCAGCCATCCTGCTCCTCCTGGCTCTTTTTGCCCTTTCAGCACCCCGTGGTGAGGGGATGGCTCTGGGATTGGGAGCCTGGGCTTGGGGCTTGTGGCAGTTGCTTTTTCTCACACCTCCCTGCCCCCGGGGTGCCCCAGCAGAGCCGATGGGCACATGGACACCTGGGCACTCAGCCATCCTCCTGGTATCCCGGGATCTCACCTGGGATGTGTCACCAGGGAGCAGCAGGCTCACAGAGCTGCTCCCGGCACGTGGCCGGGCTGGCACCCGCGCCCTGGGGACACAGCCACACACTGTCACACCCCGCGGGTGGACAATATCCAAATGCCTGCACGTCCAGGATATGAATCAGCCCGGACAGGAGCGCAGCAGCCGCTCTGGGACAGGCGGAGCTGCCCCGGAGCTGCTCCTGCAGCCAGGCAGCGCCGCTGCCAAATTGCGGCCGGGCTGGCGGGCAGGTCGCGGGCAGCCTGGCTCCACTGCCACCTCCCGATCAGCCCCGGGCACGGCAAACCCCTGGCCTGGCATACATTTCCCTGTTTGCACGGCTCTGTTTCCCCGTGCCAAGCCATGGCACGGTGGCAGCGGGCCAGGGCCGTGCCTAACCTTGACCCGGGCTCCTGGCGAGCAGCCGGCCCTGCCCAGCTGTCCCCCCGTGCCCCCGGCCGCAGGCATGTTCCACCGGGCCAGCCAGAGCATTCCTCCCGGGAGAGCCTGTCCTTGACAGGCTATTTAAAGGCACACTTGTGCCCTTTATCCCCCCTCATGTTTGGGCTGGAAGAGCCCCGTGCCCTCCCGTGACTCCAAGAGGGCACTTCCAGGCTCAGGGCAGCAGCAGCGCCGTGAGTTTGGGTGAATTCAGGGAGAAGGGAGGGATGCAGGCACCCACGTCCTGCAGCCAAGTACCAGGCCGTGTCCTGGGGACAGACCCCTGGGAAAGGTCCCCTGGCCATCGAGGCTGGCAGCAGGGCTGCGGGGAACTGCAGAGCCCAGCTCAGCCCTTGGCACCCACAGGCTGGAGGAGCCACATGAACTCATTGCCCTCTTCCTGCTGGATGCCCAGCCAAGCCCTGACCATCCCAGATCTCCTTCCAGTGGGAAGATCAGGGCCAGGCAGCAGCTGGCTCAGCACTCTGTGTGCCACCGTCACCTTTCAGCCTCCAAAAGGGTCTCAGGCACCCGAGGGCTGTGGAGCAGGACCTGCCCGACTGCTGCCATGGCTGGCACGGGGCTGACTGCTTGTGCACCCCACCGAGCTGGCAGGAAGGTGACTCGGGAGGGAAAGCCGACCTGATGGGATGGAAAAATCCAGAGGAGCCACCTGCAGGGAGCTGGAGGGGTGAGCCCTGTGGCTGCAGGGCCTGGGCTGGGTGGGCAAGCACAGACACACAGTCCCTGCTCAATGACCCGCGTCCCCCAGCCTGCTCATTTTCCCTTGCTGAGGAGCCCACCAGCCTTTCCCCAGGCTGGGAGCATCCCCAGGACACGTCCCCAGCTCTGGCACCGCTGTCCCCTCCCAGGTTTGGTGTAGCTGAGCATTTCCTCGGGCATTTCAATGGCACCTGGGCAGAGGTGGCTGCCCCCCAGCCACCCCACAGGTATACAGGTGAAAGGAGGGTGAGCCCCTCACACCGGACCCCAGCCCCACACGGGGCAGTGCCTGGGGCTGTCCCCACCCGCCTGGCACCTGCTCAGGGTTGGCTGAGGACGTGCCAGCCCTGCCCCGCTGCCCAGCCCGCACTGGGGAGCCCGTGGGGAGCCCGTGGGTGGCCGCCCAGTCTGCTGCCCCCGGGCACGGCACGGCACGGCAGGGCAGGGCGCAGGGCCCGGCGTGCCAGCGCTCGCCAGCCGGCACGGGCACCTTTGATGCGGGCAGCGCCAGGAGCCCAGGGCAGCCGCGGCGACGCCAGCCGGGTGCTCCGCTGGCCTCGGTGAGGGATGGGCAGCGTGTGGTGCCAGTCCCGGGGCGCTCCTAAGTCCCCTCTGGCACCACGGCACGGCTGCCCACCTCAGCACCTCAGCATCTCCTAACAGCGCACCCACGGGGAAACTGAGGCACGGATACCCCGGGAATGGTGCGAGGGGGCTGTCTCCGTTCTCAAAGCGAGCCTTGGCTCAGGACCAACACGGAGTGATTGTCCCAAAAACCTCTTCCATGGGACCTGTGCCAACCCGCCCGGGACGCAGGGGGACGGGGGCCCCGGGGGTCCCGGGAGGGGCGATGTCGGTCCCGCAGCGCGGAGCGGAGCCGGGCGGTGCCCGCGCGCTCCCGCACCGGCGCTCCCAGCGCGGGCCCGGCGGGCACCGGGAGCTGGCGCGGGGCTCCCTCTGGCGGCCGCAGCCAGCGCTGCCAGGGGCTCGGGCACTCGGTGCCCACGTCTCGAGACAAATTCTCAGGTGCCGAGGTGCCCAGGGAGCCAAATTCTTAGGTGTCCTGCTACCCAGTTTCTCAGGTACTGAGGTGCCCAGGTAGCCAAATTCTTAGGTGCCCAGGGAGCCAAATTCTCAGGTACTCAGGTGCCCAGTTTCTTAGGTACTGTGGTGCCCAGCTAGCCAAATTCTCAGGTGCCCAGTGCCCATCTGCCAGTGTCCAAGTGCCCCAGTGCCCAGGTGCTGTGCCCAGGTGTCCCAGTGCCCCCAGCCTGGCTGAGGACCCCTCTGCTCCTCTGCTGCTCACTCCTGCTCTAACCAGGGACACGCTGCCTCATCTCCCCAGACACATTTGTCACTTGCAGGGATTTCAGCAAATCCCCGGGTCACTGCAGCCACCTGCCCTCACTCCCGGGTGCTGCTTTGCTTTGTGCCAACACACACACAGGACCTGGCACCCTCACACCTCCCACCAAAAGGTGCCTCCCAAGTGCCATCCTCGTGCCCACGTCCCTGGGCCACGTCCCCCAGGTGCCTCCCACCACCTTCCCAGCCGGGGGCTGCCTCCCTCCAGCATCTCCTGTGAGGATTCCTCAGGTGCCAAGCTGGCTGCTCCCATCCTTGCCCTTGCTGGGGCTGGCACGCTCACACGGGCAGGCTCCAGCCCGCGGGGTCCTGCACGGGGACGGTCACCAGGTAGCTGGAGGGCACGTAGCCCCTCTGGCCGTTCACCTCCACCAGGCTCCACTCCGTGCTGCCCTTCTTGTCGTGGGGCTCCAGCAGCAGCACGGGCTGCCCTGCCTGCAGGCTCAGCTCCTGCGGGCTCCGCGCTGCGAAGGAGAAGCCGGCCACCACCTGGGGGAGGCAGGGAAGGAAGGAGGGAGGGAGAGAGGGAGGCAGTCATGGCTGGAGCTGGGAGTCTAGAGGGGAAGGACGTAGCAGTTCCCAGAGGGCAGCACAGCAGTGCTGTGGATGGAGGGACTGGGCACCCACCAAGGACAGTTCTCTTGCCCTGACCACCCTGATCCCAGCAAGGGGACACCTGGAAAAGCAGGTCCACCTTCCCACCCACACCAGGACCAGCAGGGAGCTGGTGGGGTTGCTAGAAATGGCCCCAGGGATGTCCTCCACTCTCACCTGGAATGTTGGGGTGAAGGTGGCCACCTGTGGCCTGGGAACTTCAGGGGACGCGTAGGAATGTCTCCTTGTCTCTGTGCCACTGTCCAGGCCCAGCAGCTGCATCACAGGCTGCTGCACTTGCACAGGGCTGTAGGGCCGGAGTTTTGCAGCAGGAACAAACCCTCGGGGACCTGCAGGACACAGACACACACAGGGCATGGGGCCCTGCTGCCTGGCACGCACAGCACTGGCTGGAGGAGACAGGAATGACAATTTGGCTGTGGCCTGGCACGGCACAGCAGCCCTGTCCATCACTAGGGGATATCCAGGAGAAATCCCCACCAAAAAGGGGATTCCATGTGTTTCTGTGTGCATGGATTCTCCTCCCCCAGCCAGGACACTTCCCCTGGGGAATCAGTCAGGGCACCTGAACCCTGGAGCTGAGGGCAAAGCTCAGGTGGCCTTGGGCTGAGCACAGCCTGGAAGGGAGCACCAGGAGACCACAGCCTGCTGCTTTATCCAGGATAAGGAAATGATTCAGGTGAACCTGGCCCTGGTGCCAAGGTGAGGAGAGGCTGCCCACAGTGCCCACAGTGCCCACAGTACCTCCAGCATCCACCAGCCACCTGCTCGTGTTCCCCTTGGTGTCGGCGCTCTGCAGCAGAGCCACGATCTGTCCCCTCAGCAAGGTCAGGTCCAAGTCCCTGCTGCCACTGATGTTGCTGGTCACTTGGTAAAGCTTGTCTGGGCCGTGCTTGCTCACAAGGGAAAGGACCTTCCTCTCCTCAGCAGGGGTCAGAGGCTGATGGGGAGCACAAGACACACGAGCATTCCATGAGACCCTCAGGGTGCTGAAGCCCTCCAGCCCTCTATCCCTCTCCTTTCTGCATCCTTTCTCACATCCCAGGGACAGGTTAAGAGCACAAACTCCTTCACACTCGCTGCTCCACCGCCAGGTTTGGAGATGAGAGTCCAGAACCAGCAGAGCTGAGCTCTTTCATCCCTGGTTATCCCCAGCGCCCAGGGGCTTGGGGGAAATACTGTGGCAACCCCCTGGGCCCCATCCTGAGCCAACCTCCCCACCAAAGGCATTTTCTGCACTGGGAAGCCACAGTCCAACCTCTCTCTCTATCCAGCTGCCCTGCCCAGCCCCTACCTGTGTGCCAGGGCTGGGTGCCACGGTGTCAAAGGCCTGGCAGAAGGCACGGAGCTGTGCCCCCGACTGCTGCAGGCTGTCCTCCACCACCTTCCAGAAGCTGGGCAGGGGCATGTGCCCATGGGGCAGCTGTGGAGACAGACTGGGATCAGCAGGGCTCTGACAGAGGAAGAGCTCTGGGTACAGGCACAAGGGAAGCAGGAGGAAGAAAAGGGGTGAGAAAGCAAGAGAGCAGACCTAAATTCACTAAATTCACCTTGCACAGGGGATCAAAGGTGCTTCTCTCTGGTTTTGAGCTGCATCTTGTTCTCCTCCTGGTCCTGGCTCAGGCCAGGGCTGTGCTCCACCCCAGGGCTTCTGACAGCCCTCCCTCCCCGTGTTTGCAAACATCAGTGAGGAGTTTAGAGCAGTGAGGAGTTCTGGGAGACATCTCCCAGGGGATGGGGCTGAAGGAGGCTGTTCTCTAGCCCAGGAGCTGTCTTTCTCCTCCCTGCCTTCCTGGCACAGGGCTCTCAGGAGCTCTGAGCTCACACTGATCTCTCAGACAGCAGCACATCAATAAATCACCAGCAGTGTCCACAAACAGAAAGCAGGACAGTTTCTGACAGTGCAGAAGAGAAAATTTGGCTTTTCCTGGGCAGGAAGGAAGTGAGATCCTTACAAATGCTCCACAGGGAGCTGTGTGTCTGCAAGGACAGGTGGGCCACAGCAAACCTTCAGTGCCCTGATGTCTGAGAGATTTGCCAAACCTGGAGAAGGCAGTTCCAGCTCAGTTCATGTGCCTTAAGGATCCCACTCACCTGCTCCAGCTCCTTTTCTGCATGGTGCAGGACCTGGGCAGCCAAGTCCAGCTGCAGGGCGCTGAAGGAGCGCAGGATCTGCCCCAGGAGCTGCACAGCCACCTGGTTGAACCGGGGGAGCTCGGCCACCAGCAGGTCATTGATGGCCAGGTAGGTGTTCATGGCTGCCTCCTCATCGTAGCTCACGCTGCCCGTCTCGCTCTTCCTCTCCTGGATCTCCTCGTAGTCCAGCAGCTTGTCCAGGCGCTTCTTGACCAGCTGCTGGGGCCCCTCCAGCATGTCTGAGAGGCTGCAGAGGGGCTGCCACACCAGCCTGTCCACACGCTGCTTCTGCCAGGTGAGAAGCCCAATTTCCACGTGAGCCCCCCGGACAGGAGCAGCAGCACGGGGGCAGAGGCCTGGGGGTCCCTGGAGGGGCTTGTGTGGAGTGGGGAGCACCTGGGACATCTTTCCCTGAGGGCACACGGGATGCCAACCAACACAAACTCTCAGGAGGGAGCCTGACACAATTCCAAACTTGTGCTCCGTGGAAAGAGCTGGGCAGGAGGCTGGAATGGCTCAGAGCAGTCTCAGCTGAGTCTCTGCCCTCAGCCCTGCCCTGAGCCCATTTAAGGGCCCTCTGCCCCTGCCTTGGGCTGTTCTGGTCTCCTCCCCATGTCCCTGGAGGCACATCAGGCACACACTGCAGCTCATCCCAGCCCTGGCTGGGCTCAGGAGCTGTGCTCTTGCTGTGTTCCTGTCCCTGCCCTCCCTTCTCCCCTGGAGCTGCTCCCTCCCTCCACGTGCCAGGGACTGCAGATGGATCCTGTTACTCACTCTTGGCTCTGCCTGCTAAGCTGGGCTCTGGGGGACTCTGAGGACATTGGGGTGCCCTCAGCTCCTGGCTGCCAGCCCCCACTGTGCCCTGGCAGAAGGTGGGAGAGCTGAAGGAGACGTGCAGGGCAGGAGCACTCACAAACTCGGGGAAAACGGTGCTCTGGAGGAGCTGGGAGAGGTGGCGATGCTGCTGGGCAGGTCCCTGCTCCATCTGCAGGTCACACTGGTGCGGGGTGGGCAGCAGGAACGCCTGCAAGGGAGGGAGCACCACGCTTCTTTAGCTCCTTGCCAACAATCCTGCATGGGCAGCCCTTGTCAATCTTTCCTGCAAGGTCTTTCCATCCCAGGAATTGCTGCTGAACCCTCGGCCACTTCCCGAGGCTTTCCTGATAATGCTGTGTCTGGGGGTTGCATGTTTTGCCAGCACTCAGACTTTCATTTTCCTCAGATGCCCCAAGGGATTTCCATGAGAAAATCGTAGCAGCTGCTGACCCAGGTGATTTCAGAAGGGCAATTTGTTGTCAGGACTGATCTGGGGACATTTCTGCCTTATACACACGATTAAAGCAAGAATTCCCAGGCTGAACAACACCCAGCCTTTTCAATCTTTTAAGACCTTGAAATAATGATAAGTTTAAGGATGGGTTATTCTCAAATGACACCAGCTCAGACAGTGTTGTCAAAGCCTCAGCTTTGGTTTAAACTCCCCTGGACCTGGAGCAATCTTGGGTGTTGTGCAACTCCCTGACACAACAGCTCAGCTGCAAATCCCTGAACATTCCCAACAGCTCCTGCTTTCCTCAGGGCTTGAAAGTATTCCACAATCCCAAGGAACAGCTCCTGAGGGGATAGGGCCAACCCCTGCCAGTGGTCAAGGTGTTACCTCTAAGTGGCCCAGGTAGGATGCCATGTTCTCCTTCAGCGTGGCCACACTGGATGCCACACACTGGAACTTCTCTTCCAGGTTGTCATATTCCTTGTCCTCAGTCTGTAAGGAGAGAGGCAGCTTGTCACCAGCCTGGGCAGAGCTGATGCCCATCACTGGGGGCTGAAACAGCAGCCAGGCACCTGCCTGGAGCTCACAGGGCAGGGCAGACCATGGGGAGCTCCATGAATCTGGGAAAGGGTCAAAACATTGGTGCAGGCAGCAACAAAGCTCTTGGTGTGGTCGTGGTGCTGGGGAACACTGGGGTGTCTTCCCTTTTCTGGGGTGCCCAAGGGTCCTGCAGGTCCTTTGGGGGTCAAAGTGCTGCCCTGCAATGCTCTGGGGTGGGGAGTGAGGCGTGTCCCTGCATTCCTGCATTCCTCTATCCCACTGCTCCTTGGGACGATGGAGGACCAGGAGGCAGCACCAGCCACCCCACCCCATACTGGCCCCGTGCTCTTCGTTCTGCCATTGAGGCACTTCAGGAGCAGCAAAATGCCCCAGAAACGACCCAGGGAGGGGCAGCAGGTGCCCGGGGTGCAGGTGAGGGCTGCCCACCTTGGCCACGATGCCAGCCTCGTGCATGAGGAGCCGGCTGAGGCGCGTGGTTTTCTTGGCGATGGAGTGGGTGTTGAGGCGCGCCAGGCGGTCCCGCAGCGTCAGGTGCTCGGCCTTGTTGTATTTGGTTGCTGCCTCGGGTGGGAGGACACAAAATAAGGGGAAAAAAAGATCAGAAGAGGAGCGTTCATGGCTCAGCAGGCTAGGAAGGTGGGCAGCACAGGGGTTGATCGGCAGGATAAGCACAAGCCACATCAAAGAAGGGAAGGACTAGGAAAACCAAAAAGAAAGGTGAGCTCCCATCTATGGGGAGCCTGATTTCTCCTATCCCAAGGGCAGGACTGTTATTCCCAGTTCCCCAGCCCCAGGAATGTGGACAGACTGGTTTTGTGCCCAGCCCCCCCATGCCACCCTGCTCCTGCAGCCTTTGGGTCTTGCCCAGAGTGGCATTTACAGGACCAGAGCAGTTCCAGGAGCTGCCTGCACAGTCTGCAGCTCCACCAGGCAGGATTAAATGGAGGGCAGGAGAGCTTTGAACTGATTTAAGTGGGAATTAGTGCTCAGGAGACCACTGGTGTTGGGCTGGGTGCTGTGCCCCCCTCCTGCACCAAGCCCGTGCCCACTCACCCACTTCCCGGCGCCGCTTGTACTCGTTGATGTTGGCATTGACCTGGGCCATGGCACGAGCCGCTGCCTGCAGGGCTGAGTGGGCACTGGAACCGCTCGGGGTGTTCTCCAGGATCTTCCCCAGCAGCAGAGGGTACTTGGTAACCCTCTGCACGGGCATCACCAGGAAGAAGCTGAGGTCTGACGCGCCCGTGTGAGGCCTGATGGGGAGGGGAATTGCTCAGGGTGGGTGTGTGGCTGCCTTCCTGCCCTGCTGCTCTCCACGGCTTCTCTGGGAGTGTTTGAGGGAGAGAGCAGCCCAGATGTTGTGGGGCATTTCTGGCTGCTCCCCTCCAGCTGCAGAGGACTGTGTCCTTGCCAGCCCCGAGGGCAGTGCCAGCCCTGGGTGGGTGTCCTGCCTCCCTGAGCAGTGCTGTGCTTTTCCAGCCCTGGGCACGGGATCAGTGGGCAGCAGGGAGGGAGGGTGCTGCCAGTTTCTCATTTTCCCCCCACAGGAAGGCACCCATCTCTTTTTTGGGAATCACATCACCTGTGCCCTAAGCAGTGAACCCCAGGAGCTCCTCCACTGCCACTGCTGCTTCTCCTGGCTCTGACAGTGTTTGTGACCCCCCTGACAGTTCAGGTCCCCCAGGGCCAGCCTGTGTCTCTCTGGTCAACGTGTGGAGGATGTGCCCTCCCTGGGGAAGGCAGCAGCTGTGCATGTCACACATCCCTTCTTTTGGGATACATCATAAAAGATTCTGAACCAAGGGTCCAGGACAAGCTGCCAGGAATTTCACCAGGAAATGCCACAAAGGTGGCGGCCATGATATGACACCCAGCCTGGTGACATAGATCTGCGCAGGCAGCTTGTCCAGAGAGGAGAAGGGCAAAGCCAGGATGTGAAACAGGGACAGGGAGGTGGTGGCTCAGCAGAGGGACCTACACGGTGGCATTGAGGGTGTCCAGGATCTGCTCCTGCAGCCGGGGGTCCCTGCGGTAGCTCTCCACCAGCTGCAGGGCGTGGTCATAGCTGGCACAGTAGATCTTGTAGACAGCCTCCATCTCTTCCTTGAACTCCTGGAACAGCGTGCCTGGGGAGGGAGAGTGGGGCTGGAGAGGAGGGTCCTTTCCCATGGAAGGGAAGGCAGAGGGTTTATCCCCAGCCTGCTGGAAGGACAAAGCCAGTGGAGATGCCAGGGCAGGGCTCTGCCCCCCGGGCACCCTGCTAAGCTGGGCCTGGTGCTGTCCCCATCGCTCTGCAGGCTGGGCAGGTCAGCCTTGCCCCGTGGGTGGCACTGGTGTGGTGGCACCAGCGCTTCCCAGAGCCAAGGCAGGAGCAGGATGTGGCATGGCAGGGGGCTGGGCTGGCACACCCCACATGGGGGGCACGGGGCAGCCACTGGCACTGCACCACTTACTGATGCAGAGCAGTTGCTCCTGCCCCTGGCCAGGCGTGGCCTCCAGCCCCTTCAGGAACCGTCTGGAGACATGGAGGATGTCGTCGGTGTTAGAGAAGAGTCCTTCCAGGTCCAGCTCAGGCAGCTGAAGGGAACAAAGATGCCCCAGGCTAAGCCAGACATATCAGAGATGGAGCAGGTGTTTTAGAGGCACTGCTGGTCACCTTCTACCTGCCCCATGGGACACCCCAGTGAGTGATGTTGTGTTTCAGGAGGCTTTGGGAATGCTGTGACATGTCTGGGCTCCCAGGTTAAGGTCATTGGGTGGCTGTACTGGGTCAGACCCAATGTCCACCCAACCCCAGAGCCTGGCTGGTGAGGGAGAGCACAGGAAGGTGGAAGGAGCACCTGCAGTGACTTGGGCATCTCAGAGCTCTGGACAGATTCCCCCTGCAGTCCCCAAGGCTGGCAGGGAGTGCCCCGTGTCACCTGCTTCTCCTGGAGGTGTGCCCGGATGTCGGACACGCACAGCTGCATGTTGTGCACGTAGCTGGCCTCGGTGCTGATGAGCTCCTCCACGGCCAGCCGCTGGCTCAGCTCCATCCTGTCACAGGGCATCGCCTCGTACACGGCCTCTTCAGCCTCAGCTGCATCCTCAGCGCCAGGCTCTGCACTCGCCATCTCTGCAGGGCACTGCAGGGGTGGCAAAGGCAGCCCTGGGACTGGTGCTGTGGTGCCCAACCCAGCTCAGTGCCCGCGCTCCCTGCCCTGTACCCCAGAGCGCATCCCCAGGGACACTCCAACCCTCCACACGCTCCAAAACCATAAAAGCATGAAGTGCTGCGAGGCAGGAGCAGGCTGGCTGCAGACACCCACGTGTGGCAGGCAGGGACTTGCCACACACCCGTGCCCACGTGTGGGGCTGGGCTGCAGGCAAGGGGGTCCCCAGGTGGCAGCAGGGGCCTGGCAGCTGCCACCCAGCACTGGGACTGTGTAGGGACCCGTCCCCACGGGCAGAGCAGGGTTTGCCACCTCCGCTCCAGCTCCTTGCTGCCAGGGCCAATTGTTCCCTCCCTGCCTTGGCTGCTGGCGCCTGGCACCTTGCCTGGCATTCAAGGGTCCTGCTCAAAGTACAAAGAGTGGTTCTGCAGTGCTGGAACAAGAGATGTTTCTGTGACAGCAAGAGCTGCTTTAAAAGCCACTGGGATGGGGGAGAAGTGGGCAGAGCTGCTGATGCCTCTGCCAGATGCACTGCCAGCCCCTGGTACGCAATGCCAGGGCCCTGCGTGGCACAGCACACTCCCCTCTCCTCTCTGCCATGGAAAATCCGAGCTGATTCCTGACATTTTCTTCTCAGGAAACACACTCTGCTCTAACTGATACCAGGGAGGATGAGCAGCTCCCAGAGCATCACAAACAGTGCTTGGCTGCTGGCAGGAAGGCCTTGAGAGAGAGAGGTGTGGCACAGGCTCAGCTGGGCTGTGAGCAGACCCCGACAGGGCAGGAATGTGGCCAGGCTCCCTGCGGAGGAGGAGAGGAGCCAAGGCAAGGCAGAGGTGGCAGATAAAAGCCAGATGGCACAAGCAGCAGCACAGACTTTGCCCTGCCCTTCCTGCCCAGCCGGTGCCAACCTCCACAGCCAGATTGCACCATGCCAGGTGCCCACTTTGGAGGCTGCAGCCCCTCTCCCTGTCCCCCCCGGGTCCAGCTGATAAGAGGCTGATGCAGCTGCGAGCCGTGGGCAGGGCCAATGTCCCCTCCTGGCACACGCCCACTGCTGGGCTTGGCACAGCAAGCGAAGTGGCATTGGACCTCTGCTTGCCCGACAGGGGTGTGTCACCCTGCCAGCTGTCATCCCTGCCCTATGGGACTTGGCTGCCTCCCCTGCCTGTGGCATGGCACTGGCTGCGATGGGACATGGGCAGGAGGAGACTTTTCTGCACCCCTCTGGGTGCTTCTGAGGGGTCTGGATATCAGGATTCCCATCAAGGACCAGCGTCCTCTGCCTGGGGTGACAGCAAAACCCCGGTTCAGTGGAGGCAGGTGGAAAGGCCCGATCTGAGACACCCCCTGAGCCCTGGAGGGGTGTCCTGCAGCTCAGGGCATGCCAGTATCGGGGTGTCCCTGGTCGCTGCAGCAGCACCCCCAGAGTGCAGAGCTGCTTTGGGGGGTTTCCCCAGGCTGCAGAAACCGCGTTGTCTGCTCTCACCCCCCTGGCCTGAGACCTCAGAGGGACAAGGGGACAGTGCAAAACGAAGCCGCAGGATTTCTGGGCAGCGTTGGAGCAGGCAGACAGCGCAGGAGCAGGTTTCGTTTTCCCAGCCACACCTCCCAGGCAGCTTCCCGCATTTGAGCTGTCACTGCTGCCTCGGTGGCTGCCAGCATCCCTGTCCCTAAGGGGGCTGCCAGCATCCCTGCCCCTAAGGCGACTCCGGACATCCCTGCCCCTAAGTGGGCTCTGGGCATCCCTGTCCCTAAGGGGGCTCCGGGCATTTCTGTCCCTAAGGGGGCTCCGGACATCCCTGTCCCTAAGGGGGCTCCGGACATCCCTGTCCCTAAGGGGGGCTGCCAGCATCGCTGTCCCTAAGGGGGGCTCTGGGCATCCCTGGCCGTGACGCGGAGACCGGCCGGGCCCTCCCCGACACCCGCGCACAGAGGTCACCGGCTCCGGGCCCGCAGCTCCCACCGCGCCCCAGGAATGTCACCCCTGCTCCTCAGCCCAGCCCAGCCTCGCCTTGCCCCCCGAAACCCCCGGCCCCGGCTCTCACCTGCGGAGCGGGCGGGGTTGCGCAGGTCGCCGTGCCCGGCCGCGCTGCCGCTGCTGCGGGCGGTGACACCGCAGCCGCACCGGGCGGGCACGGGGGGCTCCCGAGCGGGGGATGATCCCGAGCGGGGGATGATCCCGAGCGGGGGATGATCCCGAGCGGGGGATGACCCCGAGCGGGGCTGATCCCGCCCAGGGCCGGTCGGTGGCAGGCGGAGCGGGGCGGTCCCTGCGCACGCCCGGCGGGCGGCGGGGGCTGGCGGCCGGCCCGGCTGGCACCGGCTGGCCCCGAGAGAACCGCCCCCGACACCGGCACCCGGGACCCGGCACGGGCTCCCGTCCGCGAAAACAGCCGATGCCCCGCTGTGCATCGGCCCCCGGTGCCGCCCTCCCCGTGCCCATCCAGCCCCCGGTGCGCTGTGCCGGCAGGGCTGCGGGCGGAGGGCAGGGGACACACCGGGAGAGCGGGGGACACAAACTCGCCCCTGCCACCGATAAGAGGGACCGGTCCCCATGTGTCCCTGGCATCGCTGTGGCTCGGATGTACAGCCCCAGCGATGCCCTGCTGTTCCCACAGCCCGTCCCAAACGCACAGGGCTCCCGCCGTGTTATCCCAAGGTCAGGCGTGTTCCCGGCACTGCCCCTCTGCTCTGCCGTCCCTTACCAGCTGCTCAGCCTCGGGAACGGGGGCAGAGAAAACAGAAATGAAAATATAACCGAGGAAGCTGTTGCCAAGATTAGGACATGGGGAACCAGTGCCTACTTGGCATAAAGTTGTTTTTTTTCTCTCTCGGTGAGATGTTTGTATTCTTATAAACAAGCTATTGAGAAGAGAGAGGCTGTGAGGCTGTCCCCTTGTCCTGACCACAGGGAGGGTCTGGCAGCACCAGGGTTTTTTCAGGCTGGCCCACAGTGTGCAGAAAGTGTCACTGTGAAAAGGACTCTGAGTTTTTCAGTGACTCATGCAGGACAAGGCAGCGTCTATGACCAGATCCAAAACTCCCCATGGGCCAGGACAAGCTCTCTGGCATTTCCAGCCTTTCCCTCTTGGTTCCTTTGTGGGACCCTTTCTGATATGGACTGGACAGGGCAGCACAGGGACCCCACATGCACCTGCTCCGCTGGCTCCCAGCCAGTGCTGGTGCCACAAAGGCCATCCTGTCCCTCTGTTTGTCCTGCCTGCCTCCCATCCTGCCCACAGAGACAAAACTCATGGAACTGGTTGGGTGTGTGGCTGGGGTAAAGCACCCCAGGAGGATCATTCCCAGGCTGGTCTGTGCCACATGGGCTTAGGGAGTGACACGGCCACAGGAGGGACCCACACACGGCTGGGCAGCGAGGGCATTACCTGGCTGTGGCCTTGGGCACACAGATGTCCTTCCTCCCTTGCAGGTGGCAGCAGGGCTTCAGTCCTTCCCCAGGTTCTCTCTGAAGCAGCAAGAGGCCCTGTGGGCTGGCACTGCTCTGATGGCAGGAGTTCTCAGCTCCATCTTACTGCCATGTCCAACAAAGCCATGGGGACACATCACAGCTGCTTCGCTTCCATCAGCATGTTGGGGATGATCCAGGACAGGAACCACAAGGGAATCCCAGCAGGGCAGAGCTCCCTCCTCCCCCAGCATCTTCATCCCATCGGGCAGGACCAACACCCCCAGCCCCAGCTCCTCCCTGGCCAGCTCACTCCACGGGTGTTCCCTCAGGCATATTTCCCATTCCAGTCTGGTTTTTCAGAGGCAGGATAGCCTGGCTCCAGCGAGTTCCTTGCAGGATGGGCTTGTCCTCCTTCCTGACAGCTCCTTCCCTCAGCACAAGCTGTTTCCTTCCTGCCCTGCTGCTGGCACACACACCGGGCTGGGCTGGGGCTCCACTCGCCTCACCTGGGTGGCTCAGGGAGCACCGGGAGCGGTGTGACAGTGCTGTCACCGCTCCAGGGCTCCCCAGGAGGTGTGGCAGTAGGCTGGCTGCCCTGGCCCGTCTCTCCTTACACGAGGAGAACAAACAGGCGCCGGCTGGTCGAGCACCAGCGTGTGTGTCCCAGGGCTGTGCTCAGTGTCTGAAGTGTCCCAGCAGGGTGGGCTGTCCCCTGGCACACAGCTGGGTGTGCTCCCACCCTGCCAACACAAACCTGGCAAGCTGTGGCAGGGAGTGGGGTGTTCTGTGGGACCGTGTGTGGGATCACGTGTGGGATCCTGCAGGGAGGCAGGACTGGCTTCTCCTGCAGCAGAGCCAGCTTTGTGCAACCCCATTGCAAAACTGCTTCTCACAGAGCAGGTGAGCCACCTCCACAGCATTGGCCAGCCCTCTCCATACCCACTGCCACAGCAGGAGTGCCCTGCCAGCCCTCCCCTGGTAGTATTTAAGGAAAAACCCAACCCCATGAGGCTGGTGGGACTCAGTCTCCTGGGACACTCCTTGTGTGATGAGCACAGCCTCAGCCAGGGGCTGGAGAAGCACCTCATGATGATTCTGTGCTCTGGCTCAAAACAGGACATGATGAAAACCTCGGGAAGAGAGAGCTGGGTGGGAGGCAGGAACATGCAGGCAGAAGGCATCACTCACCCTGGAATGGGGCTATTTCCACCCTACATCTCACCCTGAACTTGCAGGCTCCTGCAAAGCCTTTTGCTGTTTTGCCTCTTCCCAGCTACTCCAAACATTAACACTCAGGATATTGGGATGAAAGCTAAAGCCATCAGGGGGCTCCCTGGGAACGCTCCAGACAAGCTTGGAGTTAAACAGGGCTTGCTCAGAAAATAAACACAGCTTCCAGCCATGCAAAGCACGACAGCTCAGGCTCTGCCTAATAACAGCAGGTTATTAGCAGGTTCCTCCCCCAGCAGCAGGTTTGTACAGGAAAGTTACATTTCCTCAATTTAATCTCTTCCATTCTTACTGTTCTTGGGATTTCTTTCCTGTCTAGAAAGGACCTGGTGGAAAGGAAAACACGATAGAAAGGAAAACACGGGGAGAAAAACAGCAGCTCAAGAATGTGTTCCCAGGTGCGCCCTAATCACAAAACTTCCTCCCACACAGGGAGGCAGGGCTTGGAAGTGGACTTTGCCTGCAGCCCCACTGTCTGTGTGTGCTGCGCAGCTCCAGCCACTGGAAAGGAGGAAAAAGCCTGTGAAATTAAATGTTTTCCTTCTGCTGAGCTTGCCACCAGCATGAGCAGCTCCTGAAAAACCACAGGGATGTCATTGCTTCCTCTTCCTTCTTCCCTCCCCAGCTAATGTGCTTAGGAGGGAAGGAGGCTGTGCCTGCCTGCTCGGGATAATCCCATCCAGGTACTCGGCCAGGGCTCCCAGGCAGGAGGAAATGGTGTCAGCTCCAGGGGTCTGGATGGAGCTGCAGGCTACAGCCTATGCCTGCACCACGAGGCAGAGCACAGCCTAAAAATAAGCAGATAGGATTTGATCTAGGCAGAATAAATGAAGAGTCAGCTCTTTATTTCCAAGAGGGTTATTTATGGGCCTAGAGGTGTCCTTCATGCAGGAGGCATCAGCCCCTCTGGGCCTCTCTGAGGCTGCAGCATGGATCCTCCTGGATTCATGTTTTTGTCGTTGAAGCTTCACATCCACCAGCCTCTGATGTCCTTCCCTCTCCCCTCTGCTGCCCAGCCTTGCTTTCCTACACCAAGATCTCCATTTCTCTCCCAGGGCTGGTGACTCTGGGCCTTTCACCCATTTGTCACAAATCCCTGTAGCCAGCGGAGCCAGCTGGTGCTGACAACAGCTCAAGGAGCCAGAGGCTGGTGTGAGAGCACTGAGATATTCATATTTCTGCCCTGACAGAGGATCCTCCTCTCTCAGGACCAGCATGGAGAATGCAGAGGTGTGCACAGTCCATGAGCCCCTGAGCTGGAATGCAGGCAGAGATGGAGGTGTCTGCAGCATCCTGCAGCTCTGGCAGGAAGGACAGATGTCCATGGACACATGGGCTGGAATGCAGGCAGAGATGGAGGTGTCTGCAGCATCCTGCAGCTCTGGCAGGAAGGACAGATGTCCATGGACACATGGGCTGGAATGCAGGCAGAGACAGAGGTGTCTGCAGCATCCTGCAGCTCTGGCAGGAAGGACAGATGTCCATGGACACATGGGCTGGAATGCAGGCAGAGATGGAGGTGTCTGCAGCATCCTGCAGCTCTGGCAGGAAGGACAGATGTCCATGGACACATGGGCTGGAATGCAGGCAGAGATGGAGGTGTCTGCAGCATCCTGCAGCTCTGGCAGGAAGGACAGATGTCCCCAGGCCAGTCCAGCCCCACAAAAGGCCACCCACACCCCACCACAGGGCAGTGCAGTGACAACACTCCTTGCCCAAAACATCCCACAGGGCACCCACTGAGGACCTTCTGCCTGCAGCAAGGAGGTAACAAGATGTGAGAAAAGTAAGAAGAGCTCAGAAAATTCTGGTGGTTTCTGCTGATTACTCATTTCCACTGATCCAATACTGATCTCTTCCCTGCCTGACTTTGTAGGATTTCTGCTCCTGCTGCGTCATCACAACCACCCACCCATGGAGCTGGAACTCCACGTGAGCTCCTCCTCCTCCTCCTCCCTGTGGGCACCCCACACACCCGGGCACCCCGGGCACCCCCTGCCCACAGCCACCCCTGGGTGCTGCTGCTCTCCTGCGCAAGGCGAGGGAGTGAGAAGCCAAGGGGAGGCACATCCCCTCGAGAGTCACCTTCTGCTTTGGGATCAGACACCTCTGGAGTCCCACCAGCTCCTCCAGGCAAATTCCTGCAGGAGTGGTTGTTCTGGAGCCACAGCAGCAGCTGCTGCCTGTGCAGGAGGAGCTGCAGGAGCTGACTTCTCTTGCTTCAGAGAGAAAGGAGGGGTGGCAGGGAGGCGAGAGCCCCTTCAAGCTGCCGAGCCAGTCCCTGGGCAACCTCACCATCCCTTTGCCCACTGGTGCACCCAGGAATGGCTGTGCCATGACAGGGCTCGTGTCTCTGCCATAGACAAGTGTAACAGGTGCCCCTTGAGAGAGCCACTGGGTGCTTGTTTCACTGCTGAGGGCAGAAACCCAGCCCAGGGGGCTCAGCTGGGCTCACAGCACGGTGAGGACACCTGGCAGGTCACCAGCTCCAGGCTCTGCTGGGAAGGAGGGCAGGGCTGGGCAGCCCTGAGCTTTGTGCTACAGCCTGGGGAAGTTCATGGCCAAGAGCTTTTTCGTGGGAGCAGCCTAATGCCTGAGTCCCCCTTCATTTTAGGAGAAATGATCACCAGAGGCTTCAGAGAGCTGGGACTGGTGGGGCTGCCAGGTGCCAAGGCTGAGAAAGCAGGGAGATGTGCTGAACAAAGCCAGAAAGGATGAGAAGTTGTGGAGGTGGAAGGAAAGCTCCAGAGGTGCCTGGAGCCTCAGCAGCAGCAGAGAGGCTGCAGGGCCAGCTCATTGTGTTGCCCACACGTCCTCCTCTCCCCACCACGTCACATCAGAGCAGGGAGGATGTTTTACTGAAGAGGAGTCTGTTGTGGAAAAACCCCAGCAGCTCATGCCATGGAATATAAAATGGCAGCCAGGAATCCCAGTTGTGTTGGCACTGAGGTCTGCCAGCTCAGCCTGGGTGCCAGGTACAGCTCAGAATCCCCCATACCTGTGGGGTTAGCCCAGCTCTGGCCTCGTGGAGCTTCCTGCCAAAGTGGCAGTGCCTGTCCAAGGTTACTCTGCCTGTCCACTGCTTCTGCTGAAAGCAGAGCTCCCCTGTGTGTCAGCAGCCATTGCTTCACCTCCTCCCTCCAGCCACAGGGTGGCTGCAGTGTCAGAAGAACGTGTCCATTATTAATGAGTCTCCATTATTAATGAGATTCCAGCTCTTGCAGCTGCCCTGACTCACCAGCCCACGCCCCAGCTCCTCCCCAGGCCTGACACCCTCTGCCAGGCTCCTGCTCTGGGCCAAGGGGGATCAGGGACCATCCTGCAAGGATGGGGAAGGAAAGCTGGATTGTGAGATGTCCAGCCAGGCCTCCCAGCAGAGCCCCTCAGGGACAGGGGAAGGACAGAGGAAAAACCTGCCAGGCAGAGCAGTTGTTACAGGCAGGAAAGGAAGGGCTGAAACAAAGGGTTTGTTTTCACAGCTAGGGGATGTTACCTGTGAGGAGCCACTGAGTTTGTCCACAAATTATCTGGGAAAGGGCAGGGCCAGCAAAGTGACTGTGTTTGACATGAGCACCGAGCTCTTTGGAACTGCTGGTCCATGTCCCTGAGCAGGGGACAGCCAAGGGAACTCAGGAAAGGACAGGGAAAACCTATAAAAACCAGTCCTAACAGTGGTAGCCCAGTGATAGACTCTGAGTGGTGCATCTCCTCTCAGGAAGGGAAACTTGGGGTTTGTGCTAAATGATGATTTCAAAACGCCTGGAGCAGAGCAAGCAGAAAATCGACTGTTGGAAATGAGCAGGGAAGAAGCAGAGGATGAGAAAGGAAGCACTGGCACTGTGTGAGCTGGGGATGTGCCCACGCTGAGGATGCTGCCTGCAGCTCTCCCCGCTTCCTTGCCTCCAGAGGGGTGTGGAAGAGGCTCAGGGAAGGGAAGCAGGGATGCCCCAAGCTCTGCAGCAGCCTCTGCATGAGGAATGGCACCGTGGGCAGGAGAAGGGGTGTGATGCAGATGTGCCCTGCCTTGGGAGGCGTGTGAGGGCAGGGAGGGTGATTACTCACCAGCTCTGCCCCTGCAGGAGTACAGGCTCCAAACGAAACTACCTGGAGGGAAGTTTGGGACAAGGAAAAGGAAGTGGTTCTTGGTGCAATGCGTAGTTAAACCATGGAGCTCCCCGCCACAGGATGTGACAGATGCAAAGCAT